AGAACGGAACAGAACAGAACAGAATAGCAATTGGATCACCACCTCCACTATATACTATATAAACATGACAAAATAAACAAACAAACAAACAAACACACACACGCACACACACACACACACACACATACATAATTATGTACAAACCAGGGGTGGGTTCCTGCCAGTTCTAACCTCTTCTATTGAAGAGGTTCCACAAATCTACAGTGCCGTTTAGAACCGGTTCCAGATCCCTCCCCCTGCCCATCCACGACACGCTTGCCCTACCACTGGCACAAACCCACATATATGATATGACAAGGATGATACAAATAGAATAGAATAGAATAGAATAGAATACATTGTAGTGGGTTGTACATTTGTGTGGGTATATCCAGCTGTACTCTGTTCACAGGGATACAGCCATATAGTTTAGGGAAGACACAAATACCATGGCAAGGGAAAAAAAATTAAGATGAAATGTGTTGGTTTATTAACAACTCTTTGGTCATCCCCCTTGCCAAATTGCCTTTTGTTTTTAAAATTAAAACTAATGTATTTCAAAACTAAAGCAATATTTTTCCCCCAAACCATTTCTTTCCTGCTGTTGGGAATATCAACTCTGCCTCTCTAACTTCTTAGATCACGGTCTCTGATGAAGAAGTGAGTAACCCTTCTGTGTTTGATCTGGTTAGAACTCCGCGGATGAGAAAATTCACTTTGATTCTTATGTATGCCTGGTAAGTATCTCGCAGCTGCACTGCCACTATGCCTGTCATGTTTGATATTTCCCAGGCAGTCCTGGAGGCCCCACGCTTTCTTCTTTTCTCTTGCTCTTCAAGGTTCACCAGTGCAGTAGTTTATCAAGGGCTTGTGTTGCGCCTGGGACTCATAGAAGGGAATCTGTATTTAGAGTTCTTCATCTCTGCGGTGATAGAATTGCCTTCAGCTTTCTTAATCTTAGCCACCATTGACCGACTTGGCCGGCGTCCTCTCTTTGCCTCAGGAACCCTTGTGGCAGGGGCCGCGTGTTTAATCACAGCATTCTTACCAAAAGGTAAGTAGATGGCTTTATTTTTATTTTTATTTTCCCTTTGTTGTCTTACTTTAGAGGTGGTATTCAGCGGGTTCTGACCAGTTCTGGAGAACTGGTAGCAGAAATTTTGTGTAGTTCGGAGAACTAGTAAATACCATCTCTGACTGCACCTGCCCCCATTTATTCTCTGCCTCCTGAGTCCCAGCTGATCGGGAGGAAATTTTGCAGTAATCTTCCGCTCAGGGGTGGGTTCCAGTTGCCATTACTACCGGTTCAGTGCCCAAAAAATCCTTCCCCTGGAGTGGGGAGGTAATGGAGATTTTGCAGTATCCTTCCCCTGCCAAGCCATGCCATGCCCACCAAGTCACGCCACACCACGCCCACCAAGCCATGCCCACAGAACCGGTATTAAAAGAATTTTGAATCCCACCCCTGTCTCACTTGTCTCTCAAAGCACACAATTTAACTACAAAAAATGCTTTTTAACAAGCAGATTCAAATACTTCAGTTTGGTGAAATAAGATTGTATGATACTCTTTCAAAAGAAATGCACTGTTGTTTTGAACATGATGGAAAATGCAGGTATTCCTCAACTTATGACCATAATTGAGCCCCAAATTTATGTTGTTAAGTGAGAAATTTGTTAAGTGAGTTTTGCCCCATTTTATGACTTTTCTTGTCACGTTTGTTAAGTGAATCACTGTAGTAAAATTAGTAACATGGTTGTTAAGTGAACCCGGCTTCCCCATTGACTTTACTTGTCAGAGGATTGCAAGAGGTGATCACATGACCCTGGGATGCTGCAACTGTCATAAATATGAGTTAATTGCCAAGTGTCTGAATTTTGATCACGTGACCACGGGGATGCTGCAATAGTGTGAAAAATGATCATGTCCTTTTTTTTAAGTGCCGTTGTAACTTTGAACTTTTCACTAAGTGAACTAAGTTGTAAGTTGAGGACTACAGGTAATAGAAGAGGTAGAAGCATTCAGCAGTAACACATAAGACTCTTCCACACCAGTGGTGGGTTGCAGGCAGTATGCCCTGGTACGGGCGTACTGGTGTCTGCCGGGAGCACCAGGTACTGTTCCGGTAAGGTGCTCTGGAGGGCCCATCCACCCTCCTTAGCTCCTTACTGTATTTGAGCTCTTCAGCGCTTCCGCTTCCACGCACAGAGCATAAGGCACCTGTGCAATGCTCCACCGAGCAGCTGGAGCATCGCGGAGGCATCGTGGAGGTAAGGACGCATGCATGCGCATGCACAGAAGCCTCAAAGAGCTCAAATATAGGTAAGGAGCTCGGGTGGGTGAATGGGCCCTTCGGAGCACCGTACCAGAATGGTACCTGGCATGTGGGGGACGTCGGGCCCCATTGCACCGTACCAGTTGCAGCGGGATCTGGAACCAACCACTGTTCCACACCCAGCATCGATGCCAATCTAGCCTTGAGGCCTGTTATTTATCCTCCTTGAGTAGTTCAGTTGATTTTCCTCCAGACTATCTGTGGCCTAAAACTCTCCTTTTCACTTGGTGATTCATATTGGACTTAGACTTAGAATAACTTAGAATAAGAGCCAAGGTGGCACAGTGGTTAAATGCAGCACTGCAGGCTACTTCAGCTGACTACAGTTCTGCAGTTCGGCTGTTCAAATCTCACCGGCTCAGG